GCCTGGCTTCCCCGGGGTCACCGGAGGCGCCCCTGCCCCCGGGACGCAGCTCAGGCTCAGGCCGCCTTCCTACAGATACTCGCACATGTACGTTACACTTATACTCACATCAGTGCCAGCGGGGGAGTGTCCGCATGCACACCCCCTGGAGCACCGCCCCCGAAGCGCACCCCCCAAGCACCACCCCCCGAAGCACCCCCTGAAGCGCACCCCCTGGAGCGATGCCTCTAGTTGCTCCCCTGCTCCCGGCGCCATGGCCTCTGCACTTTCCCAGGGATCTACCTGACACTGACTCACCAGCGTGATCGCTGTGGATTCACCATGTTCCTGCCTCTCCCACGCGGGTGGCACCCCCTGTGCAGGTGGATTGCACCTGGCTGCCCCGCACCCACCGGGAGCAGAGAGCGGGGGATCGGACAGCCCGGCAGGTGGGCAGCGGGTGGGGCTGTGTCCACAGGAGTGGGCATGGCCATGGGCTCCTGGAGGCCGAGCCTCAGTGCTTGGCTCCGTCCCACCCACGGCAGCAGCAGCGGTCCCGGTCCGGTCCCGGGCGTCAGGCATCTGCTAAGTCACTTAAGTCGCTCCGGGGGCAGGAAGGGACTGTCCGCGAGGCCCCGCCACCGCCTCCAGGGCCTCCTCCCTGGGGCCTGCAGTCAGGGCTCCAGCCCCTGCGCCTTTCCGGGTTGGCGTTGATGGTTGATTGTGGCCTGTGACCTGTTTTGCCTCTTAAACCAAATGAAGAAATTTTTTTAAAGAAAGCCTTAAAATACACATTCTCTGCTACCCCCTGGGTAACCTGAGCTTTTCCCGCGGAGCAGCCGAGGCTGGGCTGTGTTCTGGGGGACGGGGAACTCAGGGGGCGGGGTCAGCTGAGACTTGACGGTCTCATTTAACACACTGATTTTCTTTAATTGATTTTTTTAGAGAGGAAGGGAGAGAGAGAGAGAAACATCAATGCTGAGAGAGAATCATGGATCGGCTGCCTCCCGCCCGGCCCCCACTGGGGATCAAGCCCGCAACCTGAGCCTGTGCCCTTGACCAGAATCAAACCCGGGACCCTCAGTCTGCAGGCTGACGCTCTATCCGCTGAACCAAACTGGCCAGGGCCATAGTGATTTTTTAAATTAAATTTGTTGAGGTAACAGGTGCGCACCATTATAATTTGGCATCTGTGAGCGCCATAGCGAGGTCTCCACCCAGTCTGGTCTCCTTCGCCCAGTTCCCCCCACACCCCTCTCCTGGGCAGCAGTCCCTAGTTCTCTGTATCTGCGAGTTTGTTTCCGTTTCGTTCCCTTCATTTTTAGATTCCACATGTGAGAGAAATCACATGGGGTCTGTCTGTCTGTCTGAATGATGTCACTTAGTATAATCGCTTCGGGTGCATCCATCCATGTTGTCACAAAGGGTAAGACTTCACTCGTTTTATTGCTGAGTAATACTCCATTGTATATATGCATCACAGCTTTTTGTTAATTTCTTTATATTGATTTTAGAGAGAGAGACGTGGATTTGTTGTTCCACTTATTTATGCACTGATTGGTTGACTCTTTATGGGCCTGACCGGGGATTGAACCCCAACATTGCTGTATGGGGACGATGCTCTAACCAGGAGCCGCCGGCCAGGCCAGCCCCCAGCTGCTTCACCAGCTCCCACGACGGGCACGTGGGCAGCTTCCGTGTCTTGGCTGCTGCAGGTCCCGCTGCAGTGGGCACGGGTGCGTGTGTCTTTGAACTGATGCTTCCATATCCTTTGGGTAAACACCCAGAAGAGGGGTGGCCGGGTCATGTGGTCGCTCTGCTTTTAAATTTTTGAGGAAACGTCGTGCTGTTTTCCACGGTGGCTGCACCAGTTTACACCCACCAGCGCGGGCAGGCGCTGTGCCCCACGCCCGGCCGGGCTTGTTCTTTCTTGTCTTGACGGACGCCTTTCTGACAGGTGGGGGCTGGTCCTGGGGGGTTGGTTTGAATTTCCTCATCAGCGGTGTCGCCCGTCCCTTCATGTGCTTTTGGATGGAGCGTCCCTCGACCTCCCTGTGTGGGTGCTCGGACGTGTGGGAGGTGCTAGAGGAGGGCCTCCTACTGCGTTCGCTGCTCGAGTGTTCTGGCTCCGACGTCGGGCACATACAGAGTGAGTGTTGTTCGTCGATGGCTCGCCCTTTCTCAGGGTAAGATGTCCATCTTTGTCTCTTGTTACCTTTCTTGACCTGACATTGATTCTGTCTGACGTAAGCATGGCGGCACCTCTTCCTTCCGGGCCGCGTGCTGGGTGCCAGCGTCCCCTTCCCCCAGTCTGTCGTCTCTGGAGCTGGGGTGGGTCTAGTTCTGGGTCCATCGGCTGCTCTGAGCCTGGAGACGGGAGCCCCCTGTCCACCTCCAGGACCAGTGCTGGCTGGTGACTTACCTCCTTTTCCGGCAGCCCTGTCGCCGGGTCAGGTGGTGGTTTTTCTGACGTCATTCTCTGTTCTCTCTGCTTCGTGTTTCATGCCTCAGCTCTGGCTGTTGGTCTCCGATAAAGCCGTCCTTGTTCTGTCGGTAGCTCCTTATCTCCATCTGCCCGACAGGTTTGTGCGTCCCCTCCTCCCTTTCTAGGCATTTTTGTCACATTCTCTGGGCTGTTCTCCGTGACTAAATGGAAGCAGCTGTAGTTTTTAAACTGTAAGAGGAATTTGTGGGGTGAATCATAGCGGTAGAAAAAGTAATTCCTAAAAGAAATGGGCTTAGGGACCAAGTTACAGAGGCCAAGGAAGGGCCCTAGAGCCGGGAGCGAGGACGCCGATGCGAAGGGGCCTGGGGCGGGCGGGGAGGCCGGGCGGCTCGGAGGGAGCGCCAGCTGTGGCCGTTTTAATGCCCTTTTCCCTTTCACTTTTATGCTGATTAAGTGCCCAACACCCTGTTCTGTCTGTCTGTCAGTCACCTTCGGCTTAGCAGTCTCCGGTGTTTACCCATGCCGCCATCTTGGTCTCTCTGTGGCCGTTTTAATGCCCTTTTCCCTTTCACTTTTATGCTGATTAAGTGCCCAACACCCTGTTCTGTCTGTCTGTCAGTCACCTTCGGCTTCTGGCAGAAGCCTTGCCGCTCGCCCTGGAGCCTGTTTCCCCTGCGTCTGGTGATGCTTCTCTCTGTGCTGAGTGCACCCTCCGCTCCCTCCCGGCTGCTCTCGGCCAGAAACCTGGGACCTAGGGTTTCCTCTGGGGACTGTCTCTCGGTTTTGTCACTAACTTTTGACAGTTTTTACAATGTGTCTTGTTACTTCCTGCCTTGACTATCCTGGGAGCCCCCGACCCCCATACCCACTGACCCAGGTTGCCTTTCTCTTCCGGATGGAGTGGAGAGCTCCCCGCTCCCATGGAGTCTTGTCTGTCTGTCTGTCTGTCTGTCCTCCAGCCCTGACTCTCCCAGGGGGTCGGCTCTGTCCCGTCGCCCTGGGCGGCCTTCTCGTTGGGGACCTCCGTCCAGAGTGTCTGTCTGTCCCTCTTCATAGTGTCCGTCTCTGGGGTCAGGTGCTCACTGTGCACATTGAGCTGTTCTGGTCGCTGAACTGCCCCCGTGTCCGTGTCTTGTTGCTTCGTGGTGGCTGCTGTGGATTCTCTGTGTGACTTTGAACCTGGTCGGGAGACTCTCGTTTCCTGTGTTGCCTGTCGCGTTGTTCGTGGCGTTTCGTGGCTGTACTTCTCGCTGGTGGCAGGTGGTGAGCACCTGTCTCAGTGATGGCGAACCTATGACACGCGTGTCAGAGGTGACACGGGAACTCATTTTTTTGGTTGATTTTTCTTTGTTAAATGGCATTTAAATATATAAAATAAATATTGAAAATATAAGTCTTTGTTTTACTATGGTTGCAGATATAAAAAAATTTCTATATGTGACACGGCACCAGAGTTCGGGCTTTTCGAAATGCGGACACGCCGAGCTCAAAAGGTTCACCATCACTGGCCTGTCTCCAGGGGCTCTGCTGGGTTTTATCAGCCGGTGGGCGATCACAGGCAGTTCTTCTGTTCGCCAGTAGATGGCGCTGTACCCCACCCCACCCACCCGGAAAGCTGGCTCCACTTCCCAGGAGCAGGGGCTCCTGCCTTAGGGCTTGTTTTTCGCTGGTGTGGGCTCCTGAGATGGAAGGGCCCAGCGTGTGTCATGAGGAACCGAGGCAGCTGGTGTGCTGGCCCTGGGGTCCATGCAGGTGGAGCTGTGGGTGCTGCCTGGAGGACCAGGCCATGTGTGTGTGTGTGCGTGTGTGTGCATACATGTGTGTGTGCATGTGCGCGTGTGTGACGGGCTCACCTCTTTCAGCAGTGCTGAGGCAGAAACGGGCCGTCCGTGTGCATGTGTGTGCATGTGTGTGTGTGTTCGTGTGTGTGTGACTGGCTCACCTGTCAGCAGTGCTGAGGCAGAAACGGGCCATCCGTGTACATATGTGTGCATGTGTGTGTGTGCATACATGTGTGTGTGCATGTGCGCGTGTGTGACGGGCTCACCTCTGTCTGCAGTGCTGAGGCAGAAACGGGCCGAGCCGCCGGCCTGCTGCTGGCGGGACGGGTGTGTTCTGGGTCTGCTTGTGGGCCTTGCTGAAGGGCAGACCTTCTCTGTGGTGACCGGGACGGCCCGTCATCGCTCCCCCTGGTGGAAGGGAAGCCGCGGCCTGGCCTCTGCACCCAGGGGTGTGTGGCCGCAGGCGGGTTCCTGGCTGTGCTCCC